GCAGGAGCCGCAGCTCGGCCGGAGGGACTTCCCTGACCCAGCGCCGCGCGCTTGCGGCGGAGGGTTTGCTGTCCTGCTGGTTTCGGTGTCCCTTCTGCCCCCTCAGCGTTCACTCGCGGTGACTCCGGCAGTAGTGTGCTCTTCGTTGTGGTACAGGGTAACTAAAAGGAATTTTCTCCCTTCAGATACTGATGTGGGCTTGAGGAAAAGAAGAGATGCAGTTGTAGATCTGAAGCAATATTAACCCAGGGCCAGTGGCTCAGAGGGTAAGGAGAATGAATGAGTTGCTTGATTTTTACTTTTGATGAGAGGAAGGAGTCACATACAAAAGTAGTACTTATTTCTCTTCGTGGAGCAAAGGAAGAAAGGGAGTACTTAGGGTGGCTGTTTCCGTAGGGGCTTGGGTAAGAAGAATGAAAAATGAGGGAACATCCCACCAGGCAGGAGCTTGAACGGCTGAAGCACTGTGCTTATTGGGGGCAGGGAACTGCCAAAAAGCTGAGTGACTCAAGGACGTTGCAGAGCTGGCAAATGAGGGAGAAGCTGTTCACGTCTGGTAAAGTCATGACTCAGACTTGTCTGTGGTAGAGGAGAATAAGGACTCATTAAAAGGTATTTTGGAATAAAATAAGGCTGATATTTATCTTGTGTTCAGTATTATGTATTGATATTGAACTTTTGTTTGTTGGTTTGGTTGTTTTTTTACATTTACATGTGTAGAACTGAACACATTTGCTGCTTAAAGTGGTAGTGGTGAAAATAAGAATGAGGCTGGCTTTAAGTGACTGTCAACCTTAGCAGCAGAATTAAACTAAATATGTAAAATAAACAATCAAGAATCTTTGTATTGGATTTTAAAGTTAGGCCACTTACTTTAGCAGCAGTTGTCGCTGTGTTTAATAGCAATTCATTGTAGGAAGGGTTTTGAGGGCAGTGATTTTAAAAAAAAATACAGAATAAGAATAATTAAATCTTTATTCTCAGTCCTCAGCCTCTGAAGGAAAGCATAGGACTTCATGTGACTCATTTTGATGTCGTGGCGATTTAAAGTCACAGCTATTGGCATAAGCAGCTTTTATAAGAATGTCCACTTTCAAACAGCCTTCATTTTTACTTAGAATTAGTTAGCTTGAAAACATGAATCACAGAGCAAGAAGCCTAAAAAAAAAGAGATGTAGATGAATATAACCAAGGTACGCTATCTAAAAGACTCCAGATCATAAAATTTTCTGATGCATTTTAGTAACTCAATGGTTTTTGGGTGCTCCGAGTTTACAGACTGAATGCACCAAGACAAATGAATGTGACTTCTTAAATAGATGTATACTTTGTCATGCTAAAATAATGTAAGATTTTTAATACTTTTGTTATTGATAGCTTCTACACATTTGCATGTAGGAAGTGCTAAAATATTTTATTTGAATGTTTTTATTAAACTCTCTATACAGTGTGGCAAAAATTTTTGTAATTATAATACAAGAAAGTAATTTGCTCACTGGTGGTAGAAGAGTTTTAAATAATTCCACTTTGGAAAGTTGCAAGCTGTTGTGGAAATTAAACATTAAAAAAGATTACAGACAATTAAAAGCTGCAGGACGTATTTGTTATGTTTGAAAGTGGGCATTTAGAACCATTACAGTAGATGTGTTCCATCTCTGAGCAGCCTAATTTGTGAAGGGTCTGCCTCCCGTGTGTAGCAGGTCACAAGCAGGACAGGTGGCTGAGAGACCGGCCTGTGCAGCTGCCGGTGGACGCCTAGAGAGCCTGGGCCTGGTCAGCTAAACAACCCGGGGCTGCTGTTTCAAAGGATTCAAAACCAAAGACATGTTGAAAATAAATTGTGTGCAGGAAAAGAGATTTAAATGGAAGTAAAAGGTTAAGAATGCTTTAGAAGAAGCAATGGACTCTTATTATGGAACTAATATCGTTCAAAAGACGACGGTGGTACGATAGCGAATTATGCTAATCCATTTTAGAGAAAGCAAAGGCAGATTTACAAGCAAAGAGAAATATCTCTTGGCTCACCTGTTGCTGCACTGTGTAAATGAAGGGTATTTCTGACTTATTCTGTTCTTTCCCTGTCATATCTCTGTTTGAGTATGAAGTTTTGAAGCTTCACACCGTGTGTCCACTGCAGTGGATATAAGTGTCTGCTACTTGCTTAGCTCTTTAGAGATGTAACTATTATGTAGGATATATGGATGTATGAGGGTTTTACATGTTTTTAAATAAACCTGTAAGCAAACAGTTTTATCTAATGTTTATAAAATTTTCCATCTAGAACCCTTTCTTCACTAGTAGAAAGGGAATGCATATTCAATGATTGATCTTTTAAACGTAAATATTGTTTGAGCATTTAGAGTCACAGATATGTTGGCTGGAAGGGACTTCTGAGGGTCATCTAGTCAAAGCTCCTGCCTGGAGCAGCACAGTTGCTAGTACTGGATCAAGCCAGTCCCAAGTGTAGACCTTTGCGCTTAAAGTTCATGAGGTTTCTGTTTTCTAGTCCTGCAGTTTCTCAGTGCCACTTTGAATTGAAGCTCTACCATTCATCATGTCAACCATCCCTCAAATTTAGTATTCTCCACAAATTTGCTGGTGGTACATTCTGTCTTATATCCAAGTTATTGGTAAATTTATTGAACTACATCAGTCTGAATGTCAATCCCAGAGTACTCTTACTGTTACTAGCCAGCACCTTGAAGCCATCAAGTCTTCAATTCTGTCTACCCAGCAAGATTTCAGCCACTGCAGCAGCCCATCTGGCCTCGGATTCCTAATGCATATGCAGCAGGAGATGGTGTCAAGAGCCACAGGACAGCCCAGATGTGCTGCATGCACTGCTGTCCCCGTGGCTGTGTGACCAGACTTTTCATCACAGGAAGTGTTCATGTTTATCAAACTTAATTTGCCCTTGGTGTGTCTGTGTGCAGTCTCCCTGGTTACTTTCTTAGCTCTCACACAGCTAAGGGGACAAGCTCTGTGCATTTTTCCAGAGGGTTGGTGCTCACTGGACATGGGTGCTGCTTCTTGCCTCTCTTGAAAACAACCATGTATTAGTCTTTTTCCAGTCAATTGCAGCCTTTCCATAATAACTGGTTTTCATAGGTAATGGAGCATGTCAGCTGTGTCTCTTAGCAACCTTGAGTGTAACCCATCTGGCTCTGTGGTTTGAGTAATCCAGCTTCTCTAAGTGGTTGCTGGCTCCACTACTGCTGATCCCTGTCAGAGTTCTGGGTGCTGGCTTTGTCTGTGAAGACTGAGGAAAAAAGGTGTTGGGTGCTTCAGCCTTTCCCATATCATCTGTGACATGGTTTTCTTCCCTTCAGTCAATGGATGCACATTTTCTCTTCTTTATGATACTTCTGTACTTTTAAAATTCCTTCTTGTTACCCTGGGTGTCTATTGCTAGTTTTAGCTCCAGCTGAAACTTGGGCCTCTCTGGTTTAATGGAAATAAAGGGTGAAAAAAAGCCATGTCAAACACTGAGTTTATTTAACGACTGTTTGTGGTTTTTTTTTTTTCAGGAGCTGGTGATTCCAAAGACAGCCCAGTCATCATGGCTCATGCTGCTGTGTGTGGGGGGTTTACTGTTCCTCAGGTGCTGAGAGGTGCAAGCAGAATTTTTGCCACTCATTCTGCACTGGGGGTGTCGAGGCACTCTGCTTTTTGTTCCTGCACAGTGAACAGGTAGGTTATCCACACACAAAAACTTTTTAAAGAGAATGTCACAGTAATACTGTCAAAATGAAACTGCCTAAGTATTATAAATCTATGAATACTTATTTAACTCCCAATTATATATTTATAATTTATGTCATCTCTAGTATGGATGACACTGTTAAATTATGTTAATAGAAATTTATGCCACTAAGAGACAGTAGCACAGCTGTCAAAGTGACAATTATCTTCATTTTCTTTTTGTGGCAGCACAATAAAATCAAAAAGGAAAATGGATCATCTAGAGAGGACAGCAAATAATTTTCGCCAGGAGGTTAGTTTCTGTTCTTTAGGATGTAAGTGATTTTTTTGGGGTGTGAAGAAACTGGATAATTGTATTTGATTCTTAGGCTTAATTTTATCTTCTTCTGAAGTCTGTTTTATTTCTCCTCATTTTTCATATTTGATAATGTTGTAAAATAAGTGTATTTTCTGGTCAGTGGGTAAAATGTAATGATTTATAAAAATTGTTAGTGACATATGATGCTGTTTATTTTGGACAAGAAATTTAATGGAATTCTTATCAAGTATGGATTATCTAAGTACTGAAAGCATATAGATACCCATCATCCCTACACAGGCTTCTTAGATTTCTATTGATTTCTACAATTCTGCTTCAGATTTGAACATTAAAAAAATGTGGAAAAACGTCCTCTTATAACATAGGAGGCATGATAAAAAGTGTAGACATTTTGAAGGGAGAGATGACAGACAGTTGTAAGAAGGATCTTAGTCTGTCTCTATTTTCATGCACAAGTACAAGGAAGATAGGGCATTGTTCTCCATCAAAATCCAGAAACGCTTATTCTGGATCTCAGTTTTGTGCAGTAAGCATTCTCTTCAATAGTGTTCAGAGGTGCATGTAGTCTTGTATTTCATACAGCTGTTTCCTTCCTGGAGTTAGCTAAAGTAGATCTTTTGAAATTCTTAAATGCTGGGAGAATATGACTTCAATTCTCAAACGCATTTCACTAGTGAAATAAATCTGCATTTCTCTTACACTTTTCAGGAGAAGCAGGGCATGGTTTTGACTGAAAAATCCCATCTTTAATTCCCAGGAGTTGGGAAACCGTTCCAAATTTTTTCTCCATGTTTAGTTAGTTTCTTAGTCTTGAGTAGCCATTCATGACAGGCCAGTCTTGTGTGTGTCACACAGCAAGGCAACCTGTGGTCTCAAACACAACACCCGTGTGTTAATGTGTCTATGTGTACATCATTAAGTCCTTCTCTGCCAGATGTTTCACTAACAATAGTTGAGAATAAGCCACAGGCCGAGTGACTTCTCAAAGTTGGGTGGAGGGGACACACAGGTAACCCTCAAAGCTGAAGATTCAGCGCTTGTGACATAGGCTGTAGGTGGATGAGACAGATGCTGCCTGCCACCAGAGGTCACCCTCAGTGCCAGCTGGTGAGTGCATCTGAGCATTGCTTGTGGAGCTACAGCTGGTCCCTGGTCCAGCTTGTGCCAAATTAGCTCAGTGCGTGGAGGGAGGGTGAGACAGATGCAGACAGATGCACATGTTTGTTTGCTTCTGACAGGGGAAAATGATTCACTTCTGAGTTTTGCAAACATGTTTTTAATCTTGGATATTTCTGGTTGCTTGGCTTGCTTACTTTTTATGCTCAATGTAAATGCTGGCTAGCTGGGAAATATATGGAGAAATGCTTCCTTATGAGGCATTGGAAGCTGCAAATTCTCTGCGTATCAGAGGATTATGCAGCTTCTTTTTTTAATGCTTGATTTATTCTTTGTTACTTTATTTCTGACCACTTTAAAATGAGTTTATTTTAAATCCTCACTTGGTTTTAAATTCCGTATAATCAGCAGTTGGCTTCCCTCAGTCTGTATTGCCTTATTTGGCCATTTCAGTACTGCAGAAAGGTGAGAGGGCCACAGGTCGAAGTCGCATTAGTGCTACATGGTATGGCCGGTTGGAGAGTGGTGATGGGAAGGACCAGGGGAAGAAAAGTGCCTAAAGCTTTGTTGAAATACAGTGGCAAAGTAAGGAGTCTCCTGTCATCCTCCCTCTCGCTGCAGACTTGCTCTGTGCCAGCTGGATACTCTTGTGATGGTCCAAAATGCCTGTTGAATATCTTTGACTACCCTGACTCAAATTCAGTTATGACAATAACTTTATACCGATTCAGAATGAAATGCCTAGTGCTCTGTCAGACGTATCAGCCAAAGAACAAATTAAGGAGTGTACTGAAGAGTAAAGAAAAGAATGGACAAGATCCAACTTGTTGTCCATTTCCTGCATTTAAGGTTTCTCCATCAGAACAACCATTTAAGTCCCGTGTCTGACGTTTCTCTTGTTAACGCAGAGTGATTGCATTCCCCATTAAATACTCTCTGCTAAAGCAGAGAGGAAATGTGTGCTACTTTGTTTTAAATTGGCAAGTGTCCTGCTGTTTAATGGGACAGTGGACGTTTTCAGATGTTGCTTTATGAATAAATTAATTTCCTGCCATGTGTTCTAAATTAGAATGTAGTTGCTTAAAGTTTAATTTTATTTTTTTTTTTAACTGTTTGATCTTATATAAATGAGAAATAGTAAGGTTGTGGTGGTATTATCAGTATTTCCTAGTGTGGTAAATGACATCAGCATTTTTTAACAAAGAAAAATATATTGGCCCATTTAACAAATATTTAGGACATTACTTTTTTTGTAGAGGAAAAAGGTTAACAATTATAACTCAAAAATACCTGAAGGGGAAGGGCAGGGATGGGATGAAAGTCCATGTGGTCCTGCTGGGCATTAAAGAGTTTAAGTGGAGAGCTCCTCCGCAACAGTCCTGTTGCAAAATCTGCTTTTCTTTTAGAAAAGCATTATTTTTCATATTTTATTGGGTTTTAATGTCTTTAAAAGCAGTACCAGGTATGACTGTTACATCCCTTTCCATCTGGCTGCCAAGCAAAACCTCTGCTATTAGCTAGCAAGGAATGTTTGTGTTGCAGTTTCCCCATTGATCATATAGGTGGTCAAAGGGGTGTGTGTAAAAGCAGTAACACAAAGCTTGTTGGGTTTCTTGCATTAATGCATAATGTTTCAGTAGTGCATTTAATTACTTAATTAAAACTAGATACAGATCCAGAATTCTCCTTGGGACTTGAGTAGCAGCTGATCTTGTTTACAAGTTTCCTTTGTCAGTCTTTGTATCAGAGATCTTTTTACCTTGTCACTGGATGATAGAGGAGTGTTTGTCTTGTGGAGATGTCAAGAGACTCTGAAGAGTGCTAAGCAGAAATTGTTTCTCTTTATGTTCTTTTCAACTGAAATACAGTAAGTTTATATACAAACTGAGAAGAACCCTGACAAAACTTACAGACATGCTGGATTGTAGAAAACTAGTAGGAAACCATTTCACTATTCAGTGGCTATGTAAGTGAATCCATTTTTCGTTCCCTGCAGGTTCTTGATTACTTTTGCTGCAGATGCTCTCTATGTAACACAGTGGCTTGTTTTCCTTTTGTTAGGTAATTTCACAAGCAAAAGTGTGTGGAATCACCAGTGAATCCGAGACAGTCAAAAGACTTCGTTTGGCTGTGGCAAATAAGGATTTTACATTCAAAGCAGGACAGTGGTAAGAGCTGCTGGCATTTGAGGGGAAAATTGCTACCAGAAGTCCACTATAATGACAGGTTCAAAGGCCTCCACTTGAGCCTTGGAAAAAGTGTTAATTTATATAATACAATGTTTTCTTATTGGATACTCTGTCAAATAGCTGAATTTTTGGTAGAATTTTAAAATAACCACTATTAAATATGCTGATATTAATTTTAAAAGGGGAAAAAATGGGTATTTAAATGTTCTGCTTGATTGTTTTGGTTTTTTTCTTCTGGTTTATGTATATTACATTGTTTCATCAAGAGTGCTTAGAAGTACACAGCAGTTTATCCTGCAAGCTGTCTTTACTGTCTGTATTTGCTACTTAGTTTGAGAGCTGAGACTGCAGATTTGCAAGTTACTTAGTTTTGGGTTATAATTAAATCAGAATTGCCTGCTAACCTTTATTTCTTCATCTAGAAGTTTCCACTCTGACAATTAAGCCTGGTAGGTCAGATTAATATATGACTGCAGATAAGAAAACTTGAAAATAAAAAACCTTGAATTATTAAGCCTTTGAAATAATTAGCTGTTTGTTTAAGCAACCTTACAGCATTTTACCCAGGGAAATAGTGGGTTTTCATGTTTGTCTGCCTGCCTTGTTAAAAATACTCCCACTCTTTTTTTTTTTTTTTTTTTTTTTTCCAGTTGGAAATTAATTTAAAACTGAGTAGTTGCTTTTGGCATTGGATATTGAAATGTTCTTAAACTTTTTATGGGCTCAGGCCATCTGAAAGTGCTCTTGCTGGAATCAAAGTATAGCTGCTAGGATCTTCACAGCATATGTTAGTCATGTAGTGGTAATATGCTGGCTTTTAAATTTAGAACCAGAACATAAGACGTTGATTGCAATAATTTGTTTGTGGAGTAATTTGCTGCAGTTTTTGCACATGTGCAGTGACTCATTAAATTCTTGCTTGCCAGTACTTGGGAAGTGCATTTACACTCCAAAAATGTTCTAGAAATTATCATGCTGAAAACTGAAAGCTTTAATTATAATTACTCTTCTTCATTTTCCTCTTCCTTCAAAGTATTTTAATGCTATGGTAAGGTGTACAACAACTTTTGTATACTTGTAGCTATAAACTGCGGTTGCATTTTTTGATGAGCAGCTTGAAACACCAGGCCACAATTTCCTGAGTAGAAAAGGCTAACTTGTTAGAATTTCCTATAGTAAGATGTTACAGCCAAAGATTTTCACTAAAATGTATGTGTTTTTTGAAAGTGTTCTCATAATTGAGTTTGTCAGAAGCAAAAGTGACTTTGTTTTGCAAGTGTGCTGGCAGATACTGTTTTTTATCTGACATCAAGTAATAATGAAGATATTCGTTGCTGTCGCCTGCTCTGATTTATTAAAACATGCATTAGGGTATATGAATGTTATAAATATTTTGAAGAAGTGGCTTCATGGTTTAAATGTTTCTGATTTCTTCCTCCAGCAATTGCTAATTGTCGTTCTTTCCTTAAGGCTTTGGCTTAGGTAGCTTTTAAGAGGAGGAAAATAAAAAACACATTAAGATCTCTGGTTTACATCTTATTGTGCCTCTTCTTGTTGTGGGTGTATATGGAAGGGTTTTTTCCCCCTTTTTTTTCCACTACAACTACTCTTCTTGCTTAAGCTGTCAGAGGTAGTATTTCTTCAGGAGTCCCCTTATCCTTCCTACGCATAGCTGAGGTGAGACAAGCCATCCCAAATCCAAGCTAGTCTACTGTAACACAGTACACTATGCCCTGAAATGTCTCATGGTGAAGTAATTGGGAGAGAAATACTAACGTAGAAAGAAAGGTACACCTACATTGCTACTTCAGAAGAGTAAAAACTGTTTGGTTTCGGTTTGACATGTACGTTTGTATGTACGTTTCCCCACCAGGCAGAATAGTGTTTCCTTTATGTCAAGCAGAACGTTTTGACTTGAATGTAAATTATTACTTTATAGCATAATTTTAATTTGTTGTTGTTGTTGTTGTTGTTGTTTGGGTGTTTTTTTTGTTTGGTTGTTGGTTGTTTTTTTTTGTTGTTGTTTTTGGTTTGGTTTGGTTAATGTGAGCAGTAAGATTGTTTTCCACCAGAGGGTGGTAAAGAGCTTTAGTAGCATCTGGAGATGTTGTTTGATACAATGAACGCTGCAATACAAGAGCTGTCCTTTCTAATTTCTTGGATCCTTGCTGCCGGGAGAGCTGAGCCCTGTAGGCAGTGGTGCTGCAGAAGCTGAGGACAGCAAAATCGGCTACCTCAGCTTTTTTTTGTTCTTGACCTTTCATTTACAGTCAGATACCTTTATACACCATCAAGTTTATTACCATAAATTAAAAAATTATATTCATAGAATCATAGAATCATA